AAATTTGTTTGCATTATATTGTAGATTTGAGTTCCTTTTATTATTTGGTAATATTATTCCTGCTTCATAATTTATAATTATTCTGCAAATATTATCTTTTTCCAAAGTACAATCCCGGCTTTAGCGCCCTTAAACTTCGGCCTTAACGGTCGAAACTGCAGGAGCGTCTCAGGAAAGCCTAAAAACAAAACCTGGACGTCCCTTTAATGAAACTTCTATCGTCTTGCTAAGGCGCAGGGATACAACTATTTGAACACTCCGGTACGCATGAGGTATGACGCCTCATTTGAAGGCGATTTCAAATCTTCTTTTTTTACAGGTCGAGATTTTCCAAATTTGTTTGCATTATATTGTCGATTTGAGATCCTTTTAACATTTAGTTAAATTATTCCTGCATCATAATTTTTAATTATTCTGAAAACAATTTTCTTTTTCCCAAGTACAATCCCGGCTTGAGCGCCCTTAAACTCCGGCCTTAACGGTCGAAACTGCAGGAGCAGCACAGGAAAGCCTAAAAACCAAACTGGGACGCTACTTGAATATTAAACTACTACTTGAACTCTCCGGAACGTCTGAGGTATCATGCCTTAATTGAAGGCGTTTTCGAATAATCTGTCTTTTCATGACGAGATTTTCCATATTTTTTTGCATTATATTGTAGATTTAAGTTCCTTTTATTATTTGGTAATATTATTCCTGCTTCTTAATTTTTAATTATTCTGCTACAATTATCTTTTTGCGAAATACAATCCTGGCTTTAGCGCCCTTAAACTACGGCCTTAACGGTCGAAACTAAAGTAGCGGCACAGGAAAGCCGAAAAACCAAGGGGGGACGCTGCTTCAATATTAAACTTCTATCGCCTTGCTATGGCGCAGGGATACAACTATTTGAACGCTCCGGAACGCGTGAGGTATCACGCTTTAATTGAAGGCGTTTTCGAATCTTCTGTATATACATGACGAGATTTTCCAAATTTCTTTGCATCATATATTGTAGATTTGAGTTCCTTTTATTGTTTAGTTAAATTACCAATGATCCTTAATTTTTAATTATTCTGCAAAAAGTATCCATTTGCAAAATAAAACCCTTGCTTTAACGCCCTTTAAATACGTTAGTTTTTCTCATTTTATTTCAGATTTAAGCTCATTTTCTTATTTAGTTAAATTACTCCTACTGCTTAATTTTTATTTATATTGCAAAAACTATCCATTTGCGAAATGCAATCCTGGCTTTAGCGCCCTTAAACTCTGGCCTTTAGGTACGGTCGAAACTGCAGTAGCAGCACAGGAAAGCCGAAAAACCAAACCGAGACGCTACTTCAATATTAAACTTCCATCGCCTTGCTAAGGCGCAGGGATACAACTATTTGAACACTCCGGAACGCGTGAGGTATCACGCTTCAATTGAAGGCGTTTTCGAATCTTCTGTATTTACATGACGAGATTTTCCAAATTGTTTTGCATTATACTGTAGATTTGAGTTCCGTTTATTATTTAGTCAAATTACTCCTGCTTCTTAATTTCTAATTATTCATCAAAAATTATCTGTTTGCGAAATACAATCCTGGCTTTAGCGCCCTTAAACTACGGCCTTATCGGTCAAAACTGCGGTAGCGGCACACAGGGGCGGACTGCAGTCGAAAAGTTAGGAGGAGATCTAAATGTAAGGGCCCCTCCTGTCGTTCGGGGGCCCCTCTAAGAAGGTCCAGGGGCCCTCCTCCGTCAAATTTTGAAAATTTCACACTTTTTAAACACGTAGGCATTATTGGAGTTGGATTATACAGTACTTGAACTTCAAAATAACCCATTCTCAGGATTCATCGGGGGTCCCTTCATCACAAATACTTTTGGCGACCTTCCATGTCTCTTAGAGACAAATTTTCAAGGAATTCGGGGCCTTTTAGTGATTGAAAAGGATAAGAAAATCACAACATTACGGGGAAAAAATGATGACTCGAAAAAAATTCGCCGCGGGGGCCTCTTCGAGACCTCCGCGGCAAATTGTTAGGGGGTGATCGCCTCCCTGCCCCCTTGGCCAGTCCGCCCCTGGTCATCCTTTGACTGAAAATTGCAATCGATTGGAGGCCATGCATGAATGAATTTAACGGAGGTCATTTTGCACGAGTGAGGGTCCAAAACGGTTGCCAAAAATCAGGAACATGACTGTCCCTAAGATTTGAGGAAGCCGTGGTTCCCATTGTGGCATTTCGCTAAAAGCATTCTGGAGATGAGAGGGGTCTAACATTTCCGTGATTTTTCCTCTCTGGTGGCAGAATATCCTTTATAAATTGCGAGCCATGGTTTTACCTTGTTTCTTTTGGTAATAAAAAAAGAAGCGGAAATTTTGAATCACGGCGATAGAGAAACGCCGTTTCGCACGTTGTCCATGATTATCCGGACATCCATCAAGCTTGAATAGTTGCACCAAGGCGCTGTCGCTAACGCGTCCCTCGATCGACCCGGCTATAGCATTGATGCGCAGGAAGTCGAAACGCCTTCAATTTTTTGAATGCAATAGGGACATCCGCCGAGGTTCAATAGTTGCATCAAAGCACTGTCGTCAACGCGTCTCACTGTTCCTCGCTATACACTGCCTTGCAGGGCCGGATTTACCTACTTGCCGCCCATGGGCCGCCTGTATTTTGCCGCCCCCTCCTCATTCGTTTTGAAACATCAATAAAAACCATCAAGTGAACGTACCGGAAGGGTGGGGTGCATAAGACGCGTTTACTTACACGTGTTTTGCGAAAGCCCTGTCAACACTACTAGCAAAATTTCACGGAACTTTGCGCGAAAGTTAAGTTCCGTAAATCTATCTCTGTATGGACAAGGTCCTCCATTGATAAGAAATGAACCAACAAATTATGAAAGAACTGACATAAATGTGGTTTAATAATCTTAACTGCCACCGCATGCGCCACGCTGATCGCACTGTGTTTAGCGCAATGCGTAAAGTATTCCTGCAGTCTTGTAGGCGCTATGCGTTTCACGCCAACCGCTCCTGGCTGCACTGTGTTTGGCGCAATGGGTGAAGTATTCATGCAGTCTTGTAGGGCGCTATTATGTGTTACATGCCGACCGCCGAAGATCTTGGGGAAGATCTTGTCCTTGACATATTGTATTATTTTTCTTTCCTCTGCTGTATGCGCATTTCTTGAAGTGATATTCTAAGAGGAAACAGTTAATCACTCAAACTAGCAAAATCGCAAATTGAAAAGTAGGTATCTGCTTTTACGGGTTCATCATTGTTAAAGACAAGTCGGTAGTTTATACTTTTTAATTTCTTGCCATGGAATGATTTATTCTAAAATGAACTAGTTATTTCAATCTTTGGTAGCTACCACAATATATTTTCTTCGAAAAATTTAGAGGTCACAATCAAAATTGGTAAAATTTGGCCAGAGGAATGTAGGATTGTAAAAAGAATTGCTGCTGACCGAAGAAAAGGAGAGAACCTGTGAATTCTATGCTTCAATTTTCCATTTAATTTTTTTTTCTTCTTTTTTTTCTTTTCTTTTCTTTCAGGGGGGAAAAGAAAAGAAACCTGGATTAAATCATAATAAGTAAATAAATTTAATATATTAAACACAACCATATATAATAAATTAATGGATATACAATAATTTAAAGTAACTAAAAAAAGAAAAATCACATTTTATGCAATTAATAAAAAACAAATTAGAGAACAAGACAACACAGTGGACTAATCCTCTTAACAGTTCAGAGAGAGAGAGAGAGAGTTTCATCTTCATATTCTCAGTCGAAAATTAATATACACACGTATGTTGAGGAGAAAGAATGGCGCTTCAAGGAGCAATATTCTTATGAAAAGAAAACATGTTCATGACAAAGGGGCCAACATAAAAAAAAATATAAATTTTAAAAGGTTGTATCATAGGACAAAGGGACAAGTCAACAGAAGCAAAAGGTCCTTAAGACTTCAGAGACTTCCAAACGTTTTTTTTTTTAAAGCGCCTCTTAAGTATGAAATTTAAAAAGTTAGCAAGAATTGATACCTCCTCATGACTTGAGAAAATAACAAAGGTGATAAAAGAAAAATGAAGTCGATTTTAAAACAGATGCCATTATTACAAGGGACCAACATTGGGCATAGTTTACTTCGTTGAGAAATTAAAACATTGAAGAGACTGACAGAATAGAAATGTCAGGTTTAATATTTCATTACAAAATGATGAAGTTAAAACATAATTTACAATAGTTGTAAAAGTGTGTATATGCTAGGTGCTACATGCAACACAGAATTCCTTTAAAAAAAAACCCACAGATTAGGCGAAAATGAGTATGCCTCTTTCTCTGTTTAAAAGAGGAGAAAAAACAGTTTACAACGACGTATATTTCTTTTTGGTAAAGAGAGTGAACTTTCGAAAACGAATTTTGACATGGTCACACAGCTCACCTGTTCAGCAGGTTGAAAATATCCCGACGCAAGGAACACTGCAAAATCTACATAAAGAGTCTAACTGAAAAATAGCGTGACTTTAAACTGCATCAAAAATTTGGAGAAATAAACCCTTATTAAAGCCTGATATATGTATTGAAAGAAAAGTCAGTTTTGTGAGATCGAAAAGTTTACCAAACCACTCACAGATGGAGAAATTTTTTCAACTACATATTATTAAAACCAGCTCAATAATAAAAAGTTGAAACCTCAATACTACTATTCATTTAGGATTGGTTGGTTTTTTTCTATTTTCTGAAAAACTAAACATATTGATGACTAGATGCAAAAAATGCGTACCTCAACTGGAACGTTTCAAAATCCTCAGTCATGTTTTATCTTTTCCACGGAAAACCAAACGAAATTTGTCCTTGCAATTTTTAGTGATTTTTTAGAGTGAGTCAAGAAAGTTCATAGAAAACTTTAATAGAAACTGTTTATTAGTTTTTCTTTAGAAAAAAGGGTAAAACATGAGCAGAGACGTGTAGCTTTAAAATCTGAGGTACAGATCTTTCGACTTCAGTCATTAATATACTATTTAGGGAGAGAAGAAAGAGGTTACAAGTTCAAGAGTCTCATAAAGAAAGTATTTTACGATATAACTTCAGTTCTGCATGCTAATTGGTCAATAATTAAAATATGGCCACATTTCATCAAGAAAATCCACTTGATTTGTCACTCTTGTCTTTGACTTTGTCCCAATCTATGTTCCAAAACTAGAGGAAATAATGTGCGCACACAAATACTCTTTAACAAATATTCTGAGAAGATTGCGTAAAATATTTATGCCTTTGGCTTCAATACATCAAAAAACTGATTCCTGAAAAGATAGATTTAAAAGCAAAAAAATTAAAAATTTGATTTAAAATTAAAAAAGGCCGATTGTGCGTTAGTTAAAAAAATGCAGTTATGTTAGATATAAAAATGCGCACTTTCCAAGACAATTTGAGTTGATAAACGTCAAAATAAGATAGATCTGACATTCCTTCTGTTGAAAGTAAAGCTGGGAGAAATACTTTACAGAAGGTAAATATACCTTTCTGACAAAAATTCGTTTTTCTCATTGAGAATCCATCTAAATTGGTAGAACCAATTTCACTTACACTGAAGGAGGCAGCTTAATATGTTAAAACCTTGTGTGCCTGAATTTTCCGTAAATATTTTGTCGTCAAGACTTGTCCCTAGAAAGAATGAAAGAATGAAAAAATTCATGATCACTAGATATCTGGAGAACTATCAGTCGACAGCAATGCTTTCATTTTTAATAATAATAATAATAAAAAAATTATTAAAAACGGAAAATATAAAAGCTGTCATTCCTCGACTAAGCAAATGGCACTCATGACTAAAATCGCTGGTTCACCATTTGTAAAGTGATGCCTTCCAAAAATTTAAGACCTTAACATACAGAGGAAAAATGTACAAATAGATGACACATACAAAAGGACGCAGCTAAACATTCAAACCTACTTGCGGAGCAGTTACTGAGGAGTACAGAATATAAATTACACGGTGAAGAAAGTAAGTCAAGAAAGTCTATTTACAGCGAATTGATAAAACTTTCTCTTGCGTTTTCTAACTACACAAAAAAGGAGATACATCACAGGTTAAACAGTGCATTCACTTTGTCGTTTCTCAATTGAAGGAGCGTGACTCCAATCACCTGTTGCAAAATGTTCACTCGGAATCATTATTCTTACAAGGAGATGCTCGGACATATCTTGATGAAAATTTTATTGGTTCTCCTTCTGACCCTGCGAAAAACTCTGCAAAATTTTAGATGGAAAGCACACGGTTATGTTCTTGTAAAAAATTGATTTCTAAGAGTGAATTTTGCAAACTTGAAACGGAGTTGTGTTCCTTCGTTTGGAAAACAACGACTTGTAAAAAACTTGTAGTCAGAATTTCGATTTGCTTTCTTCCATTGAGTTTTTGTGCTGCTTTTGACACCCTTTTACGAATGGACCACTGAATAAGGTCAACAATTGAGTAATGCAATACTTTTCCTCTCTTTAAAATTTTTTGTGGAGCACGGGGGACACATAGAAAATTTTATACATCAACTTGTGAGTGAGAAATCAGCGTTGGTTGGATTTAAAAGTTAAAACAGATACGTGACCTCTGACAGACAAAAATGCAGATTTTCTTATGGTGAAATTGCACAAAAACTGAGCTTGTCACTTTGAATGAGCATTGTAGTACAAATAAATATTTGCCACAAAATTTAAAATTGATTATTGACTTTGTAATTGGATCGAGTTGGGCAGAAAGCAAATAAGGCATTGGGACCAGGAAAGAGAGACTTGGATTCTCCTTTTCCACAAGACCTGATGTTGAGAATATACCTAGGCTGGGCAGATTTAACTGGAGTTGGTTTAATTATTCCAGATACTACTTGGTTTTCTGTAATGTTTTACTTTCTCAACACAAAACAATTTTAATTCATGTATCGATTTTAATGAGCGAACAATAGGGAACAAGAAATGCAGTTAAGCTGATTTTGCTTAATCTATCTAGTTTAACCCTTTATTTTTCAGTTTGAAATATTTTTTCCCAATATCAGGCTTTTGACTAGAGAAAAAAGTAAGACTGGTTAATCCAAACTCATTTTTTTCCGTTGCTCGGTTCTTTTCTACCAAGCTCTGTCTAATTACATCCTTGTCTCTTTCGTTTTTGACATTAATTGAAATTATATTTTTGTTCTGATCCATATTGATGCAACTGATGCTGGTTACAGTAGCCAGCCTCACAAAGAGACATTATTGAAATCCACCGCCAAAACAAGGTTGCTGATGAGTGTGACTTCTGAGGGTCTGTCAAAAACCTGCCTTAACATTAAAAAAGGGAAAATGGGTTTGTGAGAAATCTCAACAGATAGATAAAATCATAAGTTTATAAAAATCTTGAATGTGATTAGCGTTTGTTGTACGTGGGTATTATCTTCATTATTGATTTAATTTCATACTTTCTGTTTTGAACAATCTAATACATGTTTAATTCAGTAAAGAATCAAAAGAACACAGCCCTTTAATTCGTACCGTACTTAGAGGCCTATTAGACATTCCTTTTTAGGGAGGGGAAAATCAGTTTTAATCTTACTAGAACCACCAGAATTTAAACAATTTCCTGACTCCGCATTCTACTTAATTTGAAAACCCTCTAATTCCATAATGTCGATAAGCTTTCAGAAATTTTGATCCAAAGTGCCCCTATAATAAATTTTAATGTTATTATTTTGGGCAAATATCATGAAAGAAACTGTCCTTATATTCTTTACAGTGCACTTGTATCGATACAAAAAATATGTTGATAGATCCTCATACTCTTTCCTACGTTCATCTGAGCTCAATCTTCATTGCTCTGAAATTGGACACACAGTCTTCAATGCTGCACTTTCAAAATTTTCATACACATACACTATTTACAGACACAAAAGTTAACATTATGAAAACAAAATTTGAGCTTCAGTATACAAGGGTAAAAAAAAAAAACAAACAAACAAAGGAAAGCAAAAATGCGAGAAAATGCGAAGGTACCATACGGAAACATGCAATATGCGGTTGATTTGCTCTTCTTTCAAGAAAAAGAGGTTTGAGAGTGAATAAAACTAAATATGTACAAGATGGGGTTTTGAGGGATTCAGATCTGTGCGGAGGAGATTCCTTATCGGTAAGACCAAAATTTACGATAGTTCTTTCCTTTGAAACTACTATAGTAATCTTCACAATTGAGACAGCAATGGCGTTTTGTTACAGAGTATGACATAACTACATTTACTGGTTTCCCTTTGAGAAAGGCTCAGTTAGTTCACTGTAGCTGCATTTCTTTGGTGCCTATATGCAGCAGAAAATGCTAGCAAAATTCACTGCATATTTTTCTGGTATTTTTAAAATAGGCTGTTTTCTCAAGAGCGGTATTTCAAGTACCACTGCAAAAAATGAAGTCAAGGAAAATCCTTTGAAAAAACAAACAAAAAAATTCAAGGGGGAGGATCAAGTCCTATCTCTGAAAAGGTGATAAAAGCGCAAAAATGTCCCGAGGCTATACTGCCAGGTAAGAGCCAGGAAAAATGGAGACTTCGATTTACAAAACTTACAACATAGGGTCACGAGAAGCTGCATACTTGTAACCTAATCAGCAAAAACAGAGAAACAAGGAGAGAATTTGTTAGAAACTTTTGAACCAAGCGATCAGGCTATGCTTTGTCTGACAAAAAGCAGTCTCCTGAACTAAGTAACCAAACACGACCTTGAATCAACAAGTACCCTCACATCTCAAAGTCCATTTCTTAAGTAGCAATTGGTTCCAAACAAATGACCTTTGACTCATTGGCGACTGAGAACAATTGTTCCTTCTTCCTGCTTTGACACCCAGATCTTGAGTTAATAAATAGTTTGAAATAATGGCTCCATTGAGAACTTGTCAATATTTGAGGCCTTGGAAGTGATCACATGAACAATTTAGATTCATCTCTGTACGTAAAAACCTCTAGGGAGAGAGACAGAAATAATGAGCTCACAGAACCACAAATAAACCAGTGAATAAAGTAAAAGAATGAATCAAGTTATTTACACTCAGATTCTTGTCAATGATTAAAAATTATAAAAACACGAACTATGATCACCTGAACCCAAATTTTGCTGGTAGCAGCAGACTGCAATTTATATCAGCATAATCCGGAAATTGAACTAAAATTTGCTTCATTTGCTCTCAAGAGCCTGCAAATTGAATATCATGTCTCGCAAACTACACCTATTGGTGGATTTTCAATAGCGTGAACTATCAATCAGTGGTCAAAAGGCCAAAGGATGATTCTCATTACAAACTAAAATGGAAGTACCAGATTGTATCCTTAAAGAAGGGTTAGCCAAAATCCTGATATTCCGATAGAGACTCGGGGAAAAACAAGAATTCATCGGCTTAAGAAATTTGAATTTCGTTTCCATTAAAAGCCTGGGAGAGCTTGAAGAACTAAACGAAGCTCTAAGTTTCTAAAACTGTCCTCATGACATGAGCTAAATACATCTACACCGCCAAACAACTCTGCCCAGTACTCTAGCCTAATTTTTTATTCATTCTATACTTCATTCGGTTCAGAGATTTGATATTTACTTATTGTGATATTGCCGTTTACAAAACATTATTTATTAGGAAAACAATCAAAATGTGGAAAGTTCGGTTCCCAAAAATCTTTGGGATGTAAACAGGAGACAAAGATTGACCATGGAATGCAATTGAATAAAACCCTTTTGATCATACTCATCAAAGAAAAAAATTGCTACCAACAAAATTTGGGCTGCATGCAATAGAAGAGCCAACATGAAACAAGATGGAGAGACACAGATGCACTACTATTAACTTGGTACATCAGATCTAAACTGTGATGGGATTTGAAAAATAAGAACAGGACTGACTTCAAGGCTGCGCCTTATTTTCTACTGAGGTGAACACATACTCAGAGATCGTAGTTCAGACTTTACCAGTTACTGGTGAAGATAAACTGACTTATTGCTTATTTTGGAAGAGGGATTTTTGGATTTGGCTGCGGTTCAAAGTAAAATAATGGATGCTGAGTGGCTGAGGTCCCATTCATATGAGAAATTTAGTTTTTAAGAAGGGGTATCGATAAGGGACGTTATTGGTTTCACCCTTGCTGAGTTCCCTCAACTCTACGACTTTTTGCTCATCAAAGGTCTAAATTTTACGGAATGCATTGTTTCTGGTCTCTTTTCAGTTTCAGGTCCATTACTGGCCTGAACAAAGGTCGGACGACTGGCGAAAAATACGAGTCTTGCGGGTTTCCAGTCGAACGCTTAAGAATCCGTATTTTGCCGCTAAAATCGGCCTTCAGGCCTAAATATGGGCCAGTATTGGACCTGAAAAGGGACCAGAAATGACTACATTATGATGCATTTTTTAAGATACAGGCCTTCAATGAGCAAAAATTCAGAGTTGAGAAAGTTTACTGTTGGCCCAAAAACGGCTCTCATTGGTATCCCTTCTTTACACTTAGTTCCCTCTGCTGATGGAAAAAAAATTGTTGAACTAAATGGAATAACATAGGAAAAGATAAGAATTGAACTGCATCTTGTACACTTTCATGAGAGGACAAAGCCTTATGGTGAAGAGGAAGGGTTCAACCTAAAATCAAAACTTCGCCAACACCAATCCAGAGCCCCAAAAACAAACATTCTTACTTATTTCAAGCAATGACAAATGAAAAATTGATTAATGGCAGTTTAGCAGAAAACTTTTTGGTTAGTTTTGGGGGATATATCAACTATTCAGTCTTGAGATCGATTAGCGTGACTTTCGGCAGTATCACTGAATGATACAATTGACTCTTCAGTTTTTTTCAACAGTTAGAATTACTTAAGATTGAATGATAGGAGAGTAGAAGACTTGTGTCTCATCGTTTTCCTTTTAAATAGAGAATTTAGGATATACACTTGTATATAGATTGTGATCAACTACTGTGGTAGATGAAAAATTAAGTTTATGAGCCAATAAGATACCTGAATGAGGCTTTGAAAAAAATCTGCTGTGCTAAGTCACACAAACAAGTTAAATAAATCACTAAAACAGTGGCTACCTACATTGTCCTAAAATTGTGGACATTTTTTTTTAATAACTTCCAAAGCTGATAGAATTTTTCTTCTAAATACCTCAAAATGGATATAAAATTAAACTGAATGCAAAGATGATATAAGTTGATTCAACTAAAATGCTTATGCATAAAACTCAGATCTTACGATAAGAGGTATTTCAACATTTAGGTCTTTACGCTTCTATCACCTCAAGACCATTGGAAGCGGTGGCCTCATGGTTGGTAATAATCAGCTGAAAATTACATCAACAAAACATCTAAAATTATGTAAAAAAAATTTCAAACTCAAGCTGCATAAAATCTTAGCTTAATCAAGCTTTTTTTCTTCTGACCAGTTCTTGAATCTTGAATTGTGAAAAAAAAACAAAGCTGCAATAGGGGTTGAAAAAAGCTGTCTAGAAAGGATATTTCATTGATAAAATTCTGGCCTGGTTCAGTTAATCTAGTTTGTACTTTCAGTATGTTTCCAAGGAGACATAACGAAACAATGGCTAGAATTACTAATTCTACTGATTCTGAATAATTCTTTTTGCTAATTCTGAATTAGTAAAACATATTGAGAGCAATTAGAACTTGCAGAATTTGCAATAAGCAGGCTGCGGACTGGAAATGGGTATGAGCAAACGTTCTATGATGGCTTCAAGGGGCTAGAAAACATTAAAAATGAGACTATTGGTAGAAAGAGACATTTCAGTGAAAAGATGCAATGATTTCAGGACCGTGAACCGTGAACCATGACCAATTTTATCATGCTCAGAAAAACGCTATGCCAACAATCGAGTGTTGCCAACTTTTTCCCTGTATTAATAATTATGTTTGAGGGAATGTTGTAAAATTTTCCTTGTAGAATTAACAAATATTTTAAGCTAAAACACGAGATAAAATTATTTGAAAAATGTTCCCAGATCTTAAATTATTCTTCATTTTGGAAGTTAATTTTGCAGATAAAACTAAAACGTCCTTCCAATCTTTTGAAGAGGGTTTCGTTGGTTAAATCAGATATCTGTATCTGTTGGGATATCTGTATCCCTGACTATTACAGGGGCTCTATTTGATAGGTTCTCAACTCCTCACTAATTAATTGGGAATACTGAATTAAGTTGAAGAATCTTGAGAGAATGCTTGAAATTTTTAGGAACTTTAGAGCGAATTGTCGATAAAATTCTCTTCAGAAATGGGGGGGGGAGAGAGACTATTCATAAGTTTCCTAGAAAATTCGTATTTCATTAAAATAAATTTGACAACGTATGAGGGCTCATACAGTGTTCTTCTGTAGCACAGCAGAGTTTTTTTCACGCTGAGCCGAAAATTGAAATTCGAGTTTACGTACTGAAATGTCAATAAGACACACCACTAAGGTCTCTAACCTTAAAAAAAGTCATTGATAATGATACACAAGCACAGATAAAACAAATAAAATTGTACAGAGTGATCCAATAGTACCGCACCACCAGCACCAGGTATCTCTCCTTTGACTTCGGGACAAATCGAGACAGAAACTTAAAATTTTTTGAGTGCTCCAGGGTTCAAGAAAACGACTTTTAGGACCTAAAATTTTAAGGGAATCCCCCTGAAAGAGACAAGAATACCAGGGGTTAAGGGGGCACTGCGGACTTTTTGGATCACCCTGTATACGTATGTATAAATAAAATAAATTATAAGAGCAACTGTGTGATGTCTCGAGTGCTCGATTGGCTTAAAAGACAAAAAAAGGAAATATGAATTGCACTACTAAACCTTCGAAAAAGGTCTCTCTCCAAAGAATAAAAAAGGTTAATTTCTTTAGCACTGTTATCGGTAACTGAAACTTACTCTATACATTCTCCAACGTTTAAAAATTTACAATCGATCTCTAGATTTTTACAAGGCAGGGTAAAAAATTTACTGAAAAAAATGGACGCTTACAAATGGATCTACAAACAGAACAAAGAGAAGCTTCTGAGAAAGAGAGCCGTTGCAACTGCAAGTGACATGAATAAGTAGTCTAAAATTTTGATATTTAGCCATTTAAATTCCTTATTTCAATTTGAAAAATTAAGTAGAGAGCATGGTGAAAATTCAGACACCCGTGCATACAGTCTGAGCAAAAGAGTGAGCTAGTTGTTAGTTTGTAAGCATCCTGATAAGCATCTTGCTTTCAGGGCAAAATTTTGCTTATCAATGGCTCAACTCAGCGGCCATAAATCTCAATAGCTGAAATTTAAGTTTCTGCGCTATTCTGTTTTGAAGGGAAAAAATTCGACTTTAGTGCTTAAGATTTCCACCGAGTAGTCATAAAACAGAGATTCCAGTATTTGCAGTCTGCAGCTGGTGTATCACAAAATCGTGAAATCACTTTAGAAGAAAACAATTGAAATTAGGTTCCAAATCATACTCTTTAAGATTTTTGCAAGAAATAAAGACACAACCAACACTCTTCCGCTCAGAACGACACCTCAGAGTGATAACATCTGTTAATCACCAAAAAGCAAACTATTTTCTCGATCTGAGAAAAGCTAAAACTTGGCATGAGTTCTCATCATGATTCCTCAGAGCATTATGTCAGGAGTGAAATGTACGTACAGAAATCGTTTGATGTTAATCGTTTAAACAAATTTTTGGCTTCATTATAGCACCTTTGTTCTTCTTTTAAATTATTACAAATGATAATTACAAGCTAGCGAGGTTTTTACAAGGCTTACAAACGTGAAGAGTAGACGATTAAACAGTGTCTGAACTCAAGGGCCCAAATGAGTAAATCTCATCCATTTAGTGGCCTTTTACTCAACACAGTAAATCTTTGATGTCAAGGAGATATTTTACTGAGCAAACGTTACAGCAAATTCATGGCATATTGTAAAAATTAGCACAATTTTGGAGACTTTTGTTGAATTACAAATTTAAAAAATTCTAGTAATTTTATCTAAGCAGAAATAAATTGATTTTAACTGCTTGTTGTCAACAATAGGTAATGGACAATCATTACAGCATTGATAATAATAAATCTGAGGCCCTGTAGATGTGATTCTGAGGTTTCACTACTTAATACTATTTTATGAATTAACCGCAACATCAACATCTTGCAGGACAAAAATTTCATTTTTTGTAAAAACAATACAAACAGCACAAGTTTTCCTCAGATAACTGAGGCGACTTTCACTTTGCAAAAAAAAATTGATCAACACAGGTGAATTTGCGAGGAATTCAAAGGTGATGCATCGGATAGAGGCATAATCATCTAATTGCAAGATGAAGTAAATTTTTCGAATTGGTTTCATTGAATCAAGCATGCAGTCTGAAGCGTAACTTAAAAAGTAAAATGTCAAGAATTCAGCCGATATCAATGCATTTGAGAAGTATCAAAAGAGGAAAAATGCCTACAGACCTGTTTAAATTGGTTCATCAGTATTTGTGCGAAAAGACACAAAAGGAAAAAAGAGAGGCTCTTACAATAATTTACAATTATTTACAGACTTGATTCACGACAAAAACATATGCTCTGCTATGAAAGTAGCTTTGCAAAAAAATGTACACATTTAAAACTGCTTATTTTGACGAATTAAAAATTGGCACAATTTATACATACAGTAGAGACACCACAGGACACAGATTTGCTTATGAAAATTTTCACAGCTCTGGGAACATAGACGAAACAGATTCGAAGACTGAGAAATCGTTGCGCGACTGCGCACCGTCACCAAGGTTGCGGTGCATGAATACCTCACGATTGAAGTTCCTGAACAATTGGTAAAAACGAAAATAGAATTAGTTATGTTGGATTTTTTCATGCTAATAGAAAAATTACATTGTACATGACTGAGTGTAAAGAGAAATCCTAAAGATATTGCTTTTGAACAATAAGATTTCTTCTCCTGTGAATGGTAGTAAAATAAGATAAATATGCCTATTCTTGTCACCGTAAGCAGCAGCCAACAGTCAAAAACTATAACAGTGATCTTAGTACGAATGGGAAACCTTAAAATTTTTACCTATGAGTGCAAAGTGATTTCTTCAAATCTTCAGACAAATTCGAATTTGATTGTTTTGAGGTATTCTGTCGATGGCATACGAAACACGCTGCCACGACTACAGAAACGGATAAATCGAAATGGCAATCATTTATGAATAGCCTTTGATATCAGCTTTTGAGGTATGTAATATTTTCTGGTTCATAGTTAACAAAAAAAATATTAAAAAATGGATGCAGAAACTTTTGGCCCTCCCCATTTTAAAAATCCTAATTTTCCCACAATTTTTCAAAGCTACGACCCATCTATTGTTTTGACTTTGCAAATTACCACAATTTTGCGAAAAACGCTCATATATTACCGTGAGTCTACAAAAAACATGAGAGTCTCATTGTCAGTGCAATTTTTGAAATAGCATGCAACTTTGAAGTTGTTTTTTCCAATTTTCATAACCTTTCCATTTGTTCACATGAGCAGGCATGTGATCATGATTGCGTGATTGCAAGGTTTCTACAGTTTTCTTACTTTCGAGTTCCTTGATTTTTCCCTGCCTTTGTTCGCTCTCCTGACTCCAAAATTTTTGAATTCCGTCACTTACATAAAAATATCCTCTAGATTTGTTTTCTTTGGATACGCTAAATTTTGCTAAATTGAGGACAAAATCTCACCTCTACCAATTTAAATTGAGGGACTGGATGCGAAAAGGGCAATTCTCGGTTGCAGTGTTTCAGAGTCTCTTTTAATATATTATTCATTGTAAAGAAAGTGAATGCAACCATTTTACTAAAAAATTTATAGAATATTCCTTATGATTCTACAATTTTCTATGGAAAGAATTCTGGAAAAATCACCCATTGAATTCTTCTCCAACAGATTAATTGGCAACGGAGATTATGAGAAACTGTAATGAAAAAGTGCTCTTCTCGCACTCAGTGCCTTAATTGAGGAAAAAGGCAACCGAAAGTTGTTCACACTCTTTGGTATACAGCACCGGCTGAAAATGATGAGCCGATGTGCTACTTGAAAATCTCCTTGACTTATCTAAAAAAATTCCTCGATCTTCCGAGGTTACTGTTCCCTGATTTTCTATGTTTTCCAGACAACCAGAAACCCTACTTTAAACAAGCTACTTACAATGTGAGATAAAGTTCTCTTTTAAGAGATATCTTTGTCAGGAACTCCTAATCAGCTATTGACTTCTTCCAATTTGATATTTGACATAGATCTAGGAAAGCGTTCAGAAATTGGAAGCGGCTTTGTTCTATTTAATTTCTTTTTCTGAAAGGAATATGAAAAAACAAAAAAACAGATCAGTTACTTGCTACAACATATAAACATAAAAAAGAAGAGGACATGAGGATCTTTCCAAGCAAATAGAATGTACCTCAATCGATGTTGCTAAGCTTGTGTAACTCTTCCTTTTTTTTCCAGCATCATTTTTGGCAAATACAAGTTGTCTGAATGGTGAAATTTCATGAGACAAGGTAAAAATGTTTACTTAAGGGATGAAGTATCAGATGAACGCCAGTAAGACTGTTTAGTGTTCCTTAGAGCGTGAGAGGTGAGTAATGACCAATGGACCACTAGACAAGGTACGAATTTAAGCATTCTGATACATGATTCCTAGTCAGAATTTCACGTAGAGCACGATTGGCACAACAAAAATTACTTAAACCAACTCCTAACGAAGATATTAACGTTTTTATTTCACATTGGTTATGAGGAATTTGAACTGCCCGCTCACAAGAAACTCAAAGCTCTACGTGAGTCAAATCGCACACTCTACAACGGTTTCAGCAAGCTTCTCAGTTAAGCAATGTTCATGTCCCACCATGTGTTGTTCAAGCTATAAGCAATTTGCTATGGCTGAGCCAAAGCGTCGAGATTGAGGTTGCCAGATTTGTATATCGTAGAAACTGTCATGATAACGTTCAGCGCGCAATGTGAATCACATAGAGCATTGAGTTTTCATGAGCGGGTGGTTTGAATTTACACATCAAGTATCATAAAATATTTTTTTAAGAAGTTAATTTCGGTAATTTTTGTTGTGTGCATCATGTTTTACATGAAATTTTGGTTAAGAAACATGCATCAGAATGCTAAAATTCCTACCTTGTGTAGTGGTCCATTGTGACATTTTGATCAAAAATGTAGATTTTTGCAAGGAATGACTTGGCAATATTTATTCAAAACAAAAGCATCCAATTTTTGAGATTTAATGTAATCTATTTACGTACAAAATGGACTTTCTCTAAGAAGAGAGGAGGGATATTGACAAGGGCTGTTTATGGGCAACCCTTGCTGAATTTTCTCAACTCGATGATTTTTGGCTCATGGAAAGGCTATATTTGAGGAATGCATCATGATTTGGTAATTTTTGGGACTTGATACTGGTCTGGAGGTCGATTTTGGCGAAAAATGTGAGTCTAGCGGGTTTGCGGTCGCATGCCAAAAAACCCGCATTTTCCACCAAAATTGGCCCTCGGACCCATGTTGAGGCCAGTATTGATCCCGAAAAGAGACAGAGAATGATCAAATCATAATGCATTCTGTAAAATGTAGACCTCCAATGAGCAAAACTCGTAGAGTTGAGAAAACTCAGCCCAACAAGGGCCCTTAAAAATGACCCTTCTCTACATTCAATTTGTGATACATGTTTAGATTTTTGTAAGGAGTGACTGAGAGGTGATTTCCTCAAAAAAATTATTTTTAAATTTTTAAAACATTTGGTCTCCATATCAATCAATTCAGTTTTCCTACGCAAAAAAAAAAAAAATAAATAAATAAAAAAAAAGGTCAAATCTGTTGTAAAAAGCGATGAAAGGTGACATAACAGTTTTTCCCTGACACTGTCTTCATTTTCCCTTCCATTCCCAGGTTTACCCTGAATTTTTTTTTAAATTTCCTAACATTTCACAGTTTTACCAATATCGCATAACTGTGGCATCCCTGGAGATACCTTTTTTCTTACTTTTTTTATTGAGAATATGAAAAGAAAAATGATGTGACAAACCTTTTTGCTACAAGGAAAGCAGCCTTTTTTCTCTGGCTCATAGCAAGTATCAACGACCAGGTCTGGAGTAGGTGTAGCATTCGGTCCGAAAATGTTCAACTCCTTGAAGCAACCTGTTTCGATCATTTCAGTCTGCCATGGAATCGAGACAGAGCCGGTATTGAATTTGGAATAAAAAGTGTCGTCAGTAGCATCTAGGTTGACACCTTTGACGGTTGAGAACTGTTCAATATCTAAAACATCTTTGGCATACACAGCGTGCGGCTGGAATTAAAAAAGCAAAAAGAAAACCATATGTTAGAAGCTTTGCTTCAGATATGAAGAGGGTGATCAGTCTAAAATTCTTCCTAATTCAAAAGCCAATAAACATCTTTTAACCTGAAAAATAACAGTGTGCTCTTATTAAAACATTTGTATCAAAGTGATTTGCTCACTATACACGGTTCACCTATCCTTGAGCGAAAAAAATAAAGCACTTTTTGAGGAATTTTTAAGGATTTTCGACAATTTTCCCTACAAATTTTTCTTGATTGCACAGTGTCCACCTGTATCTTGAGTGCTAGTCCACAATTTTCAGTTCTCTTAGAAGATGGACTGCGACTGCCTTTGTCCTTGGAATATCTATTCAAACAATCTATTTCATGTCAAAAGCTTTCTTTTCCAATTCCAACACTTTTCAAGCACCTTCCAAAAAATCAAACACTTTCAAGGGCTTAAAAGAAATTCTCAAAATTGAGCCCTTTTCGTGCTTGTTTCAAGGCCACACGAACCATGATATTTTATTTTATTGTTACATTGGGTACATGAGCCGTGTACATGACTATTTTTCCTGATTTTTGACTGCTAAATCCTGATTTCATAATTTTTCCAAATCCTGATTTTTTGCGAAGAAAAATTAAAATTTCTGCATAAGCGTATTTGAAAGCAGAACTCTAAAATTAAGTTCTAAGGATTAAAAACAAGTGGGAGTCAATGAAAATGTAAATACAAGCTAATGAACCAGATTGGACCGATTGGACGGCCGACTTTTCTCAAGTCCTGATTTTATGGCCGATTTTTCCTCAAATCCTGATTGACCTTAAATCCTGATAGAATCGGGTAAATCGGGGAAATCCTGAACTAGACACCCTGTTGTCTATTTAAACTATTGAAGAGCCATTGGAACTTACATCAGGCACAAACGGAGGCTCCCACATTCCGGCTTCAATCCTTTTCCAGTTCAAACATTTGAAAAACTCATGCTGCTTCACCTCCCGAGCACCGTGACGACCGGAGTGACAACCAAGCCGCACTTTATGTGATTTCTTCAAAAGCTGCAAAAATAATGTGAGATGGAAAATATTTTATAAGATCATGATTCAAAAGGAGCTAAGTATTTAGAGAGACTCATGTGTAATTCTGACGATAAGGGTATTAAACTCATTTAACTGCTTATGGCACTTGAACTGCTGTTCATTTCAACCCGTTTACTCATTCTCGGCCTTGACACTAACCAAAGCATGAGAATTCAATAAATCCATAAAGCTAGACTTTTTTGGAAGTCCCATTACTTTCTTTAGATAAACAGTGTGGCATATCCAAGATAGGCTGGTACTTTAGATTTCTCTGTGGTTGCCATTTCGCCAAACTTGGACATGTTCCTCAGTCTGCTTATTAGGTGTTTCAAGAAGAGTCAAATAAAAATGCGCAATGAGTCAGTTAAGCTTGGAAGGGATTTGCCTACAAATAGTCAAATCTTACAGTTTTCGGTGCGAGAAGAACGATGCGCACGTTAAAATTTCACGAAAAATTGTCTCCGCGGAGATATAACGCTTCCTTTTTAGGGGTCCTCGAAAGCATGTTAGAACCGACCGTCGTGAATCTTCGAGTCTACGTGTCATAGAACAGGAAGATGGCGGCGCCGAAGCCAACCGGCTTACTACCGCCATGCTGCCGTTGTTGACATCACGATTTCTCATTAGAGGTTCAGTAAGTTCTGTGTGAAAGTTTCATATCCTACATATGTCTGTGACGCATCCTGATTGAAAAGCTTAGAGAATTATGAACAATGGATATGAATCTCAAACAAAGTAACCTACATAACCTCTAATTGACCAACAAAATCACACCGCCAATGCGCCGCCGCCGTGTATTCTTCCACTACGCATTCCACCGCCATATTGATCGTGACATGTACATTAGAAACCTACGAGCTCGCGGTTCAAACGCCGTTTTAGGCCATCCTAATTTTTGGCACTTTCGAATAAATTCTTCTCCCGTTTGCAGTCATCAAAAAAAAATTAGGAAAAAAACTGTAAGCTTCCTACTTTCGAATGACACAATAAAAAAAATGACTTAACTAACTAATAGTAAACAACATCTTATTACCAAAAATATGGTAAACCATGAAAAATCTGAAAGACATAATGTCTAGGGTCTTAGTCTAAGGGACAATCTCAAGGTAACTGTAAAAGGCTTGCTAACATCTCATCAGGCAATGCCCCTGTTTAATCATCTACCACAGGCATGGCAAATGATCATTAAAGGTGGAAATTAAGCATTGCAATTTTTGATAAAATAAAAAAAAATACCTAGAAAAAGCCCAACTACAGGATGGATGGATTTTCAGAGAATCAGAGGAATCGATTCTGCAGGTAAAATATTTAGTGCGTAGTTTGCAGCTCTATTATTTTTTATGTAGAAACAAAGACAATGGAAAATCAAGGCTAAGGAGCAAAAAAAATCCCTGGAACAGTTCGTGATACTTTCAACCCCCTTTTCCATCAGGAACCAAATAACAATAAAATTAATTATTAATAAAAATAGAAAACCTTCAGACATTCGTTGCAGACCAGTAGTGCGTTCTTTTGAAAAAATAATACATAGTGATAAAAAAAAAGGACGTGTGCAAAAAGGATAAAGAGCTGAAAATGTATCTTACCTGCTTACAGAGCGATTTGGCCTCCTCTGTGAATTTATTTGAGTATTTTTCTTGGTCTTCTTTTGCTCGCCTATCAACCTCTTCTCTTTTGACTTTTTCTTTGCGCCCCCTGAACGGAGCTTGTCCTTCTATCATTTCATAGATTAGACATCCAAAGCTGAACCAGTCAGGACTAAATGCATAAACTCCGTTGTCAATCACTTCAGGCGCTGCAAGATAAAGAGGAGCTTACTTAAAACTTTGGAACTTACACATGCATCTCAACAGATGTGCATGGAGAAGGGAATTTTATTAGTCACGGACACACTGATTTTGACGCTTAAAATATCATTGAGGGTTGATTATTTGGAGTGAAAAATGGTTGAAAAATCCTTGAGCCCATGTAAAAAAGATCCTTTCTTCCCTTAACGTTTCATTTAAAATATGAACCTCAGAAAGAACTACACTGAAAAATAGAGCATCAGAGACATTACAAATTTTGGTCATGCATTTTGAGAAAAAATTTAAAATTCTATTTTCTCATCAAATAGTAATCCTATTAAAATTCTAAGTGGATGGTAAAACTCAAGTAAAGTTAACTATCTTTATTACAGTTGTAAGAGTTACTTCGGATTTTGTTGTCACTGACATGACATCGTTCTTTTCGTTCATCAACAATTTCTCCGTAAAAGTAATACTTTTAGTCAAAAATCATAATACCTACCCAAATTTTATTTCTACTTTTCCTTGTCATTTCCAACACACAATACAAAAGGAATAATTTTATTAACTAGGTATAAACATAGTTTTTCGATGAGACAAAAAAATATTATTGTCATCTTGAATTCCCTTTTTCAAAAAAATGCCCTAAAATTCTCAACAAAGCTCCAATTTTCAATTTTCCAACAATCAAACAACCAACAACCAAAACAAATTTCCAATTCTTGCTGGAACTAATTGATGACATAAACAGGTTATTACAGACTCATTATGTATTGTAGTGATGTTGACTGGTTCACTGCCAACATGTTTTTACAAAAAATTTTTGGCCAGGTGAAAAAATGCAAAATTACACCTAAGAAATTCAGAAACTCTAAAATTTACTGATACAAAATTTACTTGACGAGTTGCAACTTGTTAGGTGATTTTGTCAGATTGTCATGTCGCCTTCATGCAAAATTTCTCATTCAGTGTTCATTATGGTTTCTGAAATCACCAATGCAAAGACTAGAAAAAAGCCGTTAGTATGAAATCGTAATTAAAGTTACCCATGTAGCCAGCGGTGCCAACTCGCCCTTGCACCATCTCGCCTTCAGGTATTTCAGCGGCTAAACCTAAATCAGATATTCGGACATGACCAGCATCGTCCAATAGAATATTTTCAGGTTTACAATCCATGTAAACTAACCCTTGGTAATGTAAATGCTCCAGCCCACATAGCACCTGCCGAAAAAGTGTAATAAATAAGTAGATGCTAGAAAATGTAAAAACCGCTGTTGTGAAATTTTCCTATTTTTGAGAAAAGTACAAAGAAACATGTGCGAATTTTATATCTGTGGGATTAATTAATATTCAAAGTCGAACCTCCAAACCCATCAGAACCTTAAAAACTCTTGAAATCCTCACAGAGAAAAGAAAAGGAGTTTGCATTTTGAACAACTTGGATTTTGTCCATGTCATAGGTGGGTACAGACGCTTTTTGTCATTGATTTTCTTAAAAATTGCGCAGTTTATGGAAATTTCATTCCAAATAAAGTGCTTGACACGATATTTTAACTTGAGCTAAGCGGAATAGAAAGGAAATTATAGTACGTTCTTCATACTTAGAATTTCAGATTGGGCTGGAATATTGACGCCATATTATGCCCACTTACATCACAAGGTTAACAAATTATGAATTGCGATCACCTCCATTTTCTCTCTGTGCCAGGACCCTGATCTCCAAAACATCCATAAGTCTTAAAAACCAAAAATTACAACTGCTAAAAAACAGGATACTAATGGTTTTCGTACAAGCTGATTCAATTGACATGGGACCATTAAAATATCAAAGAAAGCTCAGTCATTTCACTAGGAAATTCCTTGGGGGTATATAATGATCTAACTTAAATAAGGGAATTCACACCTGAATGATGATGCTTTCCAAATAAATTAAAAATTCACTCCATATACAGGTCACAGAATTGTTGGGTTGAAATACAAGTTAACAAGATCTGTTGGCACTAAAGTTAACTAATTTACTAGAACTTATACTGAAGGACACTGATGAGTGTTTCCTGTCAAAATCTTGAATCACATTTTTGGACCAACTCTGAAAAATCGCTCTAAAAATAATTTTGTTGCTACGGACTGAAGTCCTCATTTCTGTGGACAATCAAATGAGCTTAAAATAAGTCCAACAAAAATCTATGAAAACGATTATTTTCCAGAGAATATTAAAAACCTACTGCTTATTTATCTGCCCTACATAGGTTTTGAACACCAATGTTGAGGACTTTAGATTTTCTAAATTAAACTTAACGTGGATGAAGGCTTTTTAATTAAAAGAGTCTTACCTCAGCAGCGTAGAATCTTGCTCTAGGAATATCAAAGCCAGGATCTCCGCCCATATTATAAATATGAAACTTCAGATCGCCTCCATTCATTATTGTTAAAACTAGGCATAATGCGTCTTTCGTTTCATAGGCATAAGCTAAACTAACCTGTACACGAAAAAAAAAAAAACCACACTCACGATTAGAGAGAAAAAAAAAATTTCAGACACAGATGAACTATGATATAATAAAAATTAATGGTAAACTAAGAAATACCAACGATGAAAAAACGAAAAAAGTATTTCTTTTTGTTTCATGTACAAAGCGCTGGGTGCAAAAAGGGTCCCTGTTGGCTACAGTGACTTTGATTTACCCTCACATTTCATCCATTACAAGGAGAGCAAATGCATACGATACGTTAGAGCTTTCACTGAAAGTTCTTGGCAGTATCTTGATGTTCAGATTCAAAAATTCCCGGAAAGTCCAAGCAAAGATTCCAATACACTACTTGCAAAAAGTGCCTTTACTGCACCCAATGCCTCATTTGAAGTTTGTCTTTAAGGTGAATCTGTGTGATCTAGAGGATTTACCGCTACATTTTACTGCAATCAATTTCATAATTTACAATTTTACGAAAGAAACTAATAAAAAACGTGTAGCAGCATTCATATGGATTAGTGCGAAATCAGATTTGTGAGGATTTCGTAAAAATATGGATCAAAAATTAAGGAAATGTAAGTCACTGATTGACTCGAGGTGCAAGCGAGAGATATGATGCCTCTCCTCTTACCCAGTGAGTAAATGAGTGACAAAAGTTCTTAGAATTTTTAAAACAGATTTTCAAAAAATCTTCGAAAAATTGATGTCATACTGCTCTGAATTAATGCTACTACATGTTATGGATCAGTTCCTTGTGTTAATTTGTACTTTACGATAAGTAATGCTTCTAAAAGACTCAGTCTATACAGCAGCGCAATGTAGAGGCAGATTTCATCCCTTAATCTCTTAGCTCCACCTCTGGACTTCCAACGAGTTCCTCGTGAAGACAAAACCATGAGACTTGATGAAAAATTAGAATTGCTTTGAAAGCCATTGGAAAAACTTTACTGTGAATAACGAAACTTACATTGAACTTTCGATAATAACACATTGAACAGAACAGTGAAAACAATGATAATTTTGAACAGGCTGAAGTCCCTTTTAACTTATGGGATTACTTTTCCATCCATTTTAAATAGACGTTGTTAACTTTGGTTTTTTGGATGAATTGTTACAGTGGATAGTAAGTACTTGCATGTCTTAATAAATGTGTGTTTTGCCCAACTAGGGCAAAATAAATATTCTATTTTATTGCTGAGAAGTCGTTTTAAGGCCTTACACCCCCCCCCCCCTTGCAATGAAGAAATAAACAAAAGTTCAAGTTTGTTTTGAGAAGTACCCAAATCAAAGGTTTTGGAACATTCATATTATACTATTAAAGGACTAAAAAGTTTCTCATTTTTAGCTACGGGGAACTTTTTGAGAACTGCATGACATGCACTAAAAACATTTTCTATTTACCGAAAATTTTCGGCTCAATTCAATTTTGTCTGATTTCTAAAATTTTTGTTTTATTGTTGGACACTTTTCAAAACAAGCTATTTATTTACACTTAAGTATACAATAGCAACCTCAGCTGTATTTTGCTTCCATCTTATGGAGTGAAATTTTACCTTCATAGTAGAAAATTAAATGCACCATCCGAGTGAAATGAAAGCTGTAATATTTTCAATACATTAAAAATCTCCTTAGCTTGTGAAATTCACGAACTGCAGGTAAAATGGGAATTTTCGTTTTTTCCTCTTTTCAATTTAAAAAAGAGCATTAAGAAATGGAACACCATGCAAATTAAAACAAAACCAAAAATTAAAAGGAAGAAAACCGATAAAGATGGAATAGAGTAACTCACCACAAATTTAGAATTAATTTTTTGCAAAATTTGTTTCTCTCTCAGTACCATTGCTTCACCTTTTCTCTTTTTTATTCGCTTTTTTTCTAATTTTTTACAAGCATACATTTTGCCTGTGGCACGGACTTGGCAGGCGCACACCTCTCCGAAACCACCCTTCCCTAAAACTCTATACATTCGGAATGTCTTATATGTTACTGGTTGCCTATAAACAGTTCAATGAACACAATAATTAAAAACAAGAAAATTCAGAGTTAACAATTCTCAAAACTCGTAATAAGTCAAACAGCACACTTGAATAGCCTTTGAATTATCTTAAATACTGAAAAAAAAAAACCAGAATTTTTCTAGAAAATATCCTAAGGAAAGGAAATAAGACGTTAGGAACTACTAAAAGCCAAAGAAGCAATCGGATTTATAATTATTGCTTTTTTGTGAGCCAGAGAGGTGAAGTAATAAAGACAAAAACTGTTATTTTCTCATTTATAAAGTTAAGTTTGGAAATTTTAATGCGTATCTCGTAGTCTTCCTGAAATTAGGGAAAACGAACGAGTACTGCGGTCTTTTTTAATTGTACTGAGAAAATTGTAATTTGCTAAAATTAGATCCAAAATTTTTACGTTTGAGATTCAAAAATTAGAGAAAAAAATTGAGATAGATATTCAAGGACTTTTCAAGCTCACGAGAAACCTGGATTCAAAATTTCCCATTTAAAAACAAAACTAGCCGCCAGCAATATTTAACACATTCTGGATGGGGAAAAATCCTCAGTTCTGAGGTCAGTTGGATAAAAACCAACAAGGCTCACCAATGTTGTACATTAGTAATGTAAACAGATAAAGCTAAAAAACTTTACTTCGGCCGAGGACGAAAGATTTGGTAGTAAAACCACAAAAGGACTTGTGAGGGGAATGCAAACTGAGGGTTTTCACTTGAATAATAAAAATTTGCTTCGTTTAGAAAACAGTAATACCCTGATTATATGACCACCAATTATCCAATGTTGTAAAATAAATTAGCAGACTCGCCAAAAACTGTTTTTTTCGACAAAAATTGAATATATGTCAAGGGCTGAGGGACAATACTTAACTGACAATTTTAGCAAAGATGAGTTGATTATTTGCTGCATTCTACAATAAAAATTTTAGGTACAAAAAATTAGGGCTGTGCAAGTAGTCGAGTTCGAATAATTTGTCCGATATTCGATTCAAACTCTAACTTGGAATACCTCGAATAATCAAATTATTCGACCACATTGACAAAATTTTGAATCTCAAAAAAAAACACCAAATTCTCGTACATCCGGCCATGTTGATGACGTACTGGTAGGAACTCGATCTGGCGCGCAGTTCAAACAACTTTTTTTGAGGTTAGGTAAACAAAGGCCAACGTTTCATTGGTTCATCCCGCGCACAGCACACACACTAGACGGGTCAATTCAAGATTTGCGCCACTTGAGTTCCACCTAATACATCATGAACAAGGTGTACAAATGGGCGAATGTACTAACCTCCATAACCTATCCTCCTCAGCCCAGCGCAGCACCCCGTTCCTTACAATGTTGCTAGACTGTCTTTGAGAGATCAGAATTGATGTGAAGTAAAACTGAATAAAATGGATTTTCGGAGAGTGAGCAGCAGTTTTACAGCTCCGCAACAGTTCAATTAATTGCTCGTCCTTAATTAAAGGAAACGATTTTCACTTCCTTTTTTTCTCCCCCAGCAAATTAAAATGTATGCAAAACCATTTGATAATTAAATGAATTAATTCTTGATCTTTTTATCTATAATGGTAATTTCTTCATTCAAAACTTGACTGTTATAAAGAAAAAAATTATTTACTCGCTTTGATCAACACAGAGTTTGATATTGGTTAAAAATAGGTACAAACTAAAAACATTCGATTCGATTCAAATTCAAAACTATTTCAAAATATTTTATTCGATTCAATTTCACATAAAAAAAAACCATACTCGCAGTTCTAAAAAAAATTACATATAAAGAAAGTTTTTCCAACTCTGCATGCGAGCCCTGCAATTTGGTTGTAAAGTTTAAAATATTTGCAGATCTAGCCTCAAAAATGCAAAAATGGCTAGGTTTTCCCTTTGTCCTGTAAAATCATTAGTTAGCAGATAGACAGTGGGCAGTAGTTTTTTCCCAATTAAATGACTAGGTATTGCAAATTCAATAGAAAATTGACCCAGCTTGTGCTCACTGTTGACATAAAGAGCCTGAAATTGCATTTCTTTAGTCTTTTTTTTTTGGCACTTTCGATTATCTGACTATTCTGATATCTGACACAGCCTTCGCCACAAATCGTCGGCTAATCTGGGTATTACTGTCTTTGTTTGGAGGCACAAACGTTTGGAACAGAGATAATTTTGGGGTGGAGCAAAAGGTCTCAAAAGAAGGAAAAAATTTTGGAAAAAGTTGGAATACCTCTCTAGCCACTTCCACTGGAGGTATCGGTTGCAGTACATGGACGCCTTGAACGCATCAAAGGGTTCACCTGCGAGGAATGTTTTGACCACATCGGAGCAATGAGTGAAGAGTTCCCGACACCCTGAAGTAAGTCTTTCTCTACATTGTTCAATAATTTCACTACTTATAACTTCTACTGGTTCAGGAGCCTGAAAAATTGAGACAAGAGATACATTACAGAAGAAGAAGAAAAAGATAAAACCTGAAATGACTATAAGAAATTACTCCCTACAAAAAACAAGAAAAAACACTAAAAATGCGCAGGATGGTAGAATAGTGTTGGGTCCACACACACCACTGCTCCTGTATTCTGCCACTTCACAGCCAAGTATCCGAAAAATAGAATTCAAGGCACAAAAAAGACTGTCTTGCAATGTAACTCATCAGAGTGACTCATTTTGTGACTCTAATCGTAATTCTTTTAATTTTTTTACTTTGGTTTCCCCGCCGAAAAGTGTGGACCCAGCTCTACTCTACCATCCTGTTACTTTCTGTAGTGATGGTCAATAAGGTTTAATTCATTTTTGAACCTATTCTTGAAACTGATTGGAGTGTCTATTTCACTTCTGTTGAAAGTATGCAAAGCTTTTTATTCTGCTTGTTTTAAACTAAAAAAATTAGTGGAAAATATTAGGAAATTTAATTGTGATGTACAAGATTGAAAACTGATTTTTTGTGATAAAATGAAAACTGTTGCAGTTTCTTTTACTTAGATTGTTTCTCTGGATCATACAGCTGAAGAAACTTTTGACGATCTTTCATGATTCACTAGGTACTCGCACTCTTCAAGTCAAAAGTGTCAGGTTTGTACAGACTAAACAAACAGTTTGTACAAACAAATAATTAGGTGTGGATTACCCAATGCATTTTGTGATATATATGTAAAAGCAAAAGCATTCATGGAAAGATTAACGGGCACTTTCCTGTGAGAGAATGATATCAACAACTTACATTTGTTTCTAGGTGTTTGTCAAAGAGGGATCGAGCCTGCTCGTTCCTATTCTCGTCCGATTCGACTTCATATTGCTCCTGCAAACAAAAAAAATAATGATTCTAGGTACGTCTATTTCATTCCTAAGAAAAGCAAAAATTGAAAATCAGCAATGATACCAAGGTTTTAGAAACCATGAAACGCACTTTATTGGTTCATGCCAATAACCCAACAATGTCTTTTCTAAGGGGTCGTGTATCTGTCAATATTATTTGTAGAGTTTTGAATTTGGACAGTTTTCATTAATTTTTTACTGATTCATGTAGGCTTCATTAAATGTGTGGGTATTACTCCCGATTTAAAATGAATTCGATTTTCTACCTGGTGCAACTGAACTATAACTGTGCAAAAGTTAAGAATATTTTAAGATCTAAGTAGATTCCTCACGATTCTCGGCATTGAGTAATATTTTACTGCAATAATCAGTAACAGTTTAAACTAGGGTGAGGTAAAGTCCACTTCCAATTTGCGTAATTTTGGACTGGCGGAAGAAAGCATGACATCAGTTTAGCATTAAAAGTAAAAGCAAGAACTAGGTTGGCGGATCTTCTGTCACAGTTTAAAAGCGCATAAATTTATTTGGCGTAGGCGCCAATGCAAAATGAACTCAGCATCCTTTTGGTGAAGTTTTCTTCAGTAACGTGAGCTTACCTCTTATAAAAATTGACTCCGCCACGGCCCCCGTGGGGAGTCCTCTCTCGCCCGGGGCAGGGTTATGCCCCACCCTTATCATCATAGTTGAGTTGGGACCCCTAAAAGGTATACCTCTAATAAGAGAATGTGCCTGATTTCCGAGAGGAAGGTGGCATGGCTAACTGAGAGGGGGGGGGGGGAAACGTGAGCTTAACATGCAATCAATTTTCTTTTATTCAGAGAATGAAGGGACTCGTGTACTTTAATAAAGCACAAAAGAAAAAACTTAATATCCTTAAAATCACACTGGATGATTCTATTCAGAAACGATGGCTGATAGCTGGAATTACTACAATTACTCACCACAGAATCCAAAAAGACATTGTGTGTGTGGTACTGAGGGCACACCTCTTGACAAAACTGTCTAAATAATAGCCGACCAATGGGTTGCTGATCAACAATGTAACTATACCTAAAGTCTGAAAACAAAGATGATAAAATAATTACTTGGCAGGCAAAATCCAGATGGCCTAAATAGGCTGTTTCTGAGTTTTAATACAAAGAACATTAAGAAACTTTGCTCAGTTTTGGTTCAAAAACGGAAAGCCTTGAATTGACACGTGCGATTTGTTTAAATTTAGATGTTACTGATGAAATTAAATCAATCTAAACTTGAATTGATACTGCGGGTAACGCAACTATTTAGCTCATCCAATTTCATTTCAACGGTAGAGATAGAGTTTCTTTTCCATTTCTCTCTACCTCATAGGTTCTGTCTCTTTTTTTGTCACTTTAAAGTTCAAAAAAGTTTTAGTATTCTATAATCAGACGTTTCATCTTTTTTTATGCTCTTGTTTACTAGACGTATAAGAAACCACTGCTGCAATGCTGGGCAAATCTAAAAACCTCTCGAGGCCGCAAAGCTGAAAAGCCGATTTTTACTGGCTTCGGGATTACAACACCAACTTTGCGCAACTTGTCGCTCTTGTCCTGCAAGTTGGTCTTTTCCATATGAAAATTTTGTTAACGGTCTAAATATAAGTGCTTGCCTCTTTCTCGTGAAAGGTCCAGTTCCTTTTTTTCCACAAGTCCTCTTTACAAGTTTAAAACACCTTCCGCCCTTTTAGTACCATCAAGGTAGTCAAATCTCTAGCTAGTGGCAGGGTTACTAAAAATCTCTAGTGCTGACACTGTCGTGCTAAGGAAAAACGCCGTGTGAACATTCGGAAATTGTCAAAATTATCTTAATAAAATATTTATTTACGGAGCAAAGTTTTGAATATATTATTATTTGAAATTTTCAGACCCTTTAGATTAAATTGCGAACAAAACTATCTGAAAACTCGGGAGAAAACCATTCAAAAGCTTCCCCCATAATACAAATTTCATCAAATGAAATTTATAGCAACGTCCAAAGGCTTATACAGCGTTTTTTCTTGGCACGACATCAGGATAGCTTACCAGTGAAACGTAGCCAAACCATTACAGGTGAGAATTGGCTGAAATTACATCAGACGTAACGAGGAAATAAAATTAGTGAAAAGTAAAAGAGCTGATTTTTTCAGCTGTTTTTTTTCTTCTTTTTATTCATTCATTCATTTTATCCATTCATTAAGGAGTTTATGATACATTCAACAGACAAACCCCGGCCATATTTCACAATTGAAAACAAGTGGGAAAGCTCTAATACGTTCGTATTAGAGAAAGACTCAGCTGTTTTCTAAATGGGCGCATTTTTAGTTCCCCGAAGAAGGTGAGCTACTTGGAGTAAAAGAACTCGCTTCATCAAAATCTCAACTATCAATTGGATTGCATTTTGCAATAAGGAACCACTATTTCTGGCCCATTTTAGAAACAACATATATGCCATTGGTTTCCCTTTGCAGATATGTGCTCTTATGGGAGAGTCAGAGATAGTCGTCCCTTATTGCAAAATGTAGTCCTCCTATTACGAGTAAGGTACAACCATCAAAAAAGTAAAATTACAGAAATACGAATATCGTCCTCCACTCTTTCATATCAGAAGCATTAAATAAAGGTATAGCAGGGAAATCTATTAGAAAAAGTGTGGCCCCTTCGCCATCTTGTTTTTGAGCCGCTGCGCCATTCGAACGCATTGCCATTGCCAGTATACTGGAATTCTGCAGGGTGTCCGGAAGTTAGCGTTTTATAAGCCAGAGCCGGATTTAGGGGGTTTCCACATGGGCCGCGGCCAATGGCGGCTTTCCGCGACAGAAGAAAATCCGCGGAAATTGTTAAGAAAAACTGTATTTGCCTTTCGTAACAGGAATGATTGAAAATAAGACATTATTTGAGGTCTGCAACGTTGCAGTCGGAGCTAAATACGCTTCCTTACGCGTGTAGGAAAGGATATTTGAACTCATTCACGGCAGGCGCAGTGATACAACTATTCGACCACGGGTGTAAGCATGTTGCTGCCAGCCGGATTGAAGGCGCGCCACACTCCAGCAATTACTCGGGTCCCGTCCCGTGCGATCTCCCTGGCTGTTGCGCCGCTTAAATCGCCGCAAAGGGAGGACTGCACGTCATTATCCTCGACTCTCTGTCCCGTTTTTACCACAATTTGAGTGAAAGTGTATCCCTGAATTGTAACGATTCAGAATCTCGGATTGGGTTTATAAAATTCATTTTTTTAAAATGAGGTATGAAACGAGGGAAAATATTGCGTCTAAAAGGGGGCGGAAAATTTTGCAATTTTTTTTAAATGTATCTATAAAGAAAAATCGAATCCAGAAAAAAAGTTACGAACGAGTAAAGGTGACAAAATCTCTCATTTCCTGAGAGTATATATCTAAGTTTGTTATCCTTCTGTGATACAATAGACAGCACCTTTAATTAGTCGAGTGAAGACTAAGAGAGAAACCGAACACGATATGTGGCCCGAAATGGCGCGGCGCAGAGAGCAATGATGACGAGAACGTGAGATGAAAAGGAGAAACTCTCGGCGCGGCGGTCGGCATGTAACACGTATTATCGCCTACAAGACTACATGAATACTTCACGCATTGCGCGAAACACACTGCGGTCGCCGCACTCAGCAGTGGGCAGCGTGAAACGCATAGCGCCTACAAGACTGCATGAATACTTCACGCATTGCGTCAAACACAATGCGTGCAGCAGCGGTCGGCCCGAAACGCATAGCGCATGTAAGACTGTAGGAATACTTCGCACGCATTGCGTCAAACACAGTGCGGTCAGCGCGGCGCGGCGGCGGAAGTTAAAATTATTAAACCACATTTGCGTTTGTTCTTTCATAATTGTTTGGTTCATCTCTCATAAATGGAGGGCCTTGTCCATACAGAGATAGGATTACGGAACTTAACTTTCGCACCAAGTTCCGTGAACTTTTACTGGTAGTGTTGACAGGGCTTTCGGAAAAAATGTGACCAATACGAGTAAACGCGTATTATACGCCTCTTTCCATCCGGCACGTTCACTTGATGGTTTTTATTGATGTTTCAAAACGAATGAGAAGGGGGCAGCAAAATGCAGGCGGCCCATGGGCGGCAAATAAGTAAATCCGGCCCTGTTATAAGCAGGTCGAAATCAAAAAGTGCTCCCTATCGGCTGAGCGCTTAAAATAAACAAACTATCGGGACAATCTTCGGTTAGATTACTCGTGATGTGGCAATCTTGCTTCGGTAAGAAAAAAAATGTTTAGTGGAATTAGATCTTACCTATTTGGTTTTTTAAAAAAAGACAATGTGATATGTGAGGAAACTGTAGGATTTTCTTCCACTTTTTACTTTTCCCTTTGTTACTGTCTGTTCCACCTGGAACAAAAAAAGAAAAAAGAAACCATTAATGCAAGTGTAAGGAGAGAAACAAAATGCAAATATTTATTAAAATTACACAAGACACACAATAAGTCGTTTTTTTCACACAAGAACATAACTACATTTCAACGTTACCAAATTTAGCCGCACGGATTGCATTTTTACTGGGAGAATCTAGGGAATTTCTCAACAAATTGACGCACGATTTAACATTTTTTATTTTAACGTACGTTGGCCAAAAAATTCCAACATACGGCATTTTTAACTGAAAATTTTACCGATTTTTCTTCTCATCTCATACAAAAATCAGAAACTTTTGGAGGAAAATTATACGGATACATTCTCGTGAAAAAATTAAATTGTTTGATTCAATTTCGCAACCTTGGAATGGAGTTGGAAAACGATTAATTAATCCATTGGAAAAAATAAGAGCAAAACCAGAAAATAAATTGATGACCGAAGTTCAAAACCACGTATCGCTATTCTGCCATGCTAAGGAAGAACGCTGTATGAACATTCGAGAGCTGCTAAATTTTCCCGATTAAAATGTTCATTTTTGAGGAAAGTTATGAATATCTTTCCTTGAAAATTTCAGGAACTTAAGGTGAAATTGCTAACAGAATTGTCTGAGAAATCGGAAAGAAAATATTCATAAGTTTTCCAGGAAATCTGTATTTTATCAAAGGAAATTTGGCAACGCCTGAAGGTTAATACGGCGTTTTTCCTTGGCACGGCAGAATACCGATACGTGGTTTTGAACTTTGGCCATGGATTTCCAAAAATTTCCGAGCCTATTTTATTTTTTCGAGGAAAAAGAAGGCGACTTTACGGCGAGAAAAATGGGGATGCGGTAGACGCAGAGCTCTTTTCCACCCTCAAAAGCTCCTGCGAGGATATCGTGATCGTCCTCGCATCTCCGTCAAGAAAGGGATCGGCGGGCCCAAAATTAAATAAAGGAGTTGAAGTTATAAGGCCACGGCTTGAGTACCCGCATGCAGCTCCCCATCACCCGAAATGGGTTTTTTCCCGGGGAAGAGGTGGGTTGTGGGTACCTGGAAAATGATCTTGCCTTCACGATGCGACGCCACGCCACGCCAAGACGCTGCATTTCAGTTTGGGTCGGTGCTAAAAGAAAAAACCGTATCAACACTCGGATCAGGGTTGCCACAGAATTTAGAAAATGAACTTCCCTCACATTTCCCTGATTTCTGCGACACATTTTGCTGGAATTCCCTGACAGTTGAAGATGGGACGGATGGTTCAGAAGGCATGATTGAAAATAGTTATCAGGCAAAGTTTCTTGTTCAAAATCTCAAACCCATTCTGGAGAGCAAATGAAAGTGCTTTTACAAATTTTCCCTGACATTTTCCGGTTTCCCCTGACTTTTGAAAATTCCCTGACATTCCCGGTTTTCCCTGACTGTGGCAACCCTGTTGGATGTTGTCTACTTTCTTCTAACAAAACACAAGATTCCTGTCGACTTCGTCAATTTCTTATTTTGAATTTTTCACTGATTTTTACTCGCAAGTTTATACTTCGCAAAATTGAGAAGTTGAACGACAACATTTTATTGCTTCATCTGTGAGTGCTCAATGAGCTGCGTTCACGGTGTTTCTATTTTTTGTAATTTTTTTCTGCGATAGGAAATTGTAGAAAAATAGATTTAGAAATGAGAAAATGTGTCGCCTTATGACGCCATCTAACAGTATTTCCCATTAAAACGCATGTATTATGGCAGATTAGATTATTTTGTTATATTTTTTCCAATAATTGTTCGCTTTAGAAACCAAGACCATTCTTCTGCTCAGTACTCTCAATAATTTCATATTAAACACGAAACTTACAAAATTTTAGACACCTGAAAATTCTCCATTCTAAAAATTTTAAGGTCTATTATAGTCGTTTCCCGAACGAAAAGTTTCCAAAGTTGCAAAATTGACTTAGACAATCTAATTTTTTACAGGAATGTATCCGGGCAATTTTTGTAAAAAAATTTTCTGTTTTCGGAAGAGATCAGTAGAAAAATCGGGGAAATATTCAGTTGAGAATTCCAAAGATTTTCCTGGTAAAATTAATTAAAAATTCGAGGGGGAAAATTTAGCAGCACTGTAGTTACCTTCTTTCTCGAGAGAAACCACAATATATCCGAACTTTTCTCAAAATGAAATATATCATCAGGATATATTGGACGACATTCGAATTCTCGTGCTGCCGTGCTAAAAAAGAATGCCGTATGAGCGTTCGAAAGTTGCCAAATTTCCTTCGATAAAATGTTTATTTAGGAGGAAAATTATGAATATTTTTCTTGAAATTTTCAGAAGTTTTGGATCAAATTACAAACAAAATTATCTGAGAAATTGGTAGATGAATATTGAACAATTTTCCTGAAAATTAGTGGTTTGGCTAGGGGAAATTTGGCAACGCTTAAGGGTTCATACGGCGTTTTTCCTTAGCACAGCAGCGAGGACGTTTCTCCCTTTATACCTATTACCACGGCAGTGTAAGTTTACTCGACGCTCTCACACTTGAGTTTACCACTTCAAGCACACTCTCGAAAAAGGCAATTCAGCGGCCCGGGGTTCGATTTATTTTTTTTCTATTATTTCTAGTTTGTTTTCTTTTAAGTCAGCTTCGCAGTTGAAGTTGTAAAGTTTATCTTTTTGCATAAATATGAGGCGGGGTATCGTGCTCGCGTACCGAGGCGAAAATACGAGTATGGATGAAAAGATGAAGACAAAAACATACCTATGCAAAATGAATTATATTTACAACGGAGTAACGGAATGATGTATGTCAGGGCGAGATTATAACTTGGAATATTTCACCGGAAATGAATCGTACAACTTTCAATTTCTGACACCACTTCAGACTTTCCTAAAATTTTGGGAGGAAAATGTAAAATTGGAAGTTGAAGCGAACCTTTTTTTTTTCGTAAAATCGTATCATATCATACTCTATAATATAAAACCATGCTGCTGTGCTAAGGAAAAACGCCGTACGAGCCTTCAGGAATTGCCAAATTTTCCCTGGAAAATCACTAATTTTCAGGAGGATTTTTGAATATTGGTCTGTCAATTCCTCAGATAATTTTCTTTGTAATTTGATCTGAAACTTGTGAAAATTTAAAGGAAATATAATTATAATTTTCCTTATTAACGAAAATTAACATTTTATCTCGGGAAAATTCGCAAATCTTGAATGTTCATACGGCGTTGTTCCTTAGCACGAGAGCATGAGAGTAAGACGCAACGCACGACATCTGAGGCGCGAAGCGCTACAGGGGGTTGGACCGCGAAGCGTTTGGAGGGTGTGGCCCTCTAGTTGGGTTATCATCCATAATTCCATAAGACTCTTCATTTTGAGTTTCTAAAAAACCGACGAATTTTTCCTTCAAATAAATTAAACGGGCCTTTTTTATATCATGTTATTCCAAACAACAGTAATTGCCATTCTTTGCAAACTTGTATGCTGGTTACGTTTTACTTTTTGTGTCGGGCAAAATTCTGCAAAAACTTGACATCTGAGAACCCTTTGAAGTTTCTGCACCCCTGCTTACAACTAGACCACCGTGCTGAGGAAGAACACCGTATGAACATTCGAGAGTTGCCAAATTTCCTTCGATAAAATGTTTATTTATGAGGAACGCCATGAATATTTTTCCTTAAAATTTTCAGGAACTTAAGGTGAAATTTCGAACAATATTATCTGAAAATATTTAAGAAAAATATTCATTATTTTAGCAGGAAATTCGTGTTTTATCAATCGAAATGTGGCAACGCCTGAAGGATCATACGACGTTTTCCCTTAAGGCCTGGATACACGCTCAAATTTCCATCGATTTCCAATCAAATGGTGACCGGTGCGCACCATCTACCATCAATTTTTTGCGGCCTGCAAAAATTTGATGGTAGATGATGGTATGTACTGTAGGTCTCATTAGTCATCTGATTTCCACAAAACCGTAGTTAATTCAATCAATACGCTGTTTTAATTAATTTTAGATAACAATTTAGATAACTCTCGACCGCCATTTTTGTCATCTTTATAATCGGAAATTGACGGAAATTTGAGCGTGTATCCAGGTCTTTAGCACGGCAGTAGAGAACTACGTTGCACAACTTAGCAGCATTCGAAGTCTCATAAGCTCTTTTACCGAAACTGTCTAAATTATTAGTTCAAAATGAATAGCGTTTACCTCAAAGGGATTGCTTATTTTGCCAACCCACCGAAAAACCCCATATAATGCAGACTTACTCTGCCGCGTAAAGGAAGAACGCCGTATGAACATTCAAGAGTTGCCAAATTTCTCCGGATAAAGCATGTATTTTTGAGGAATGTTATGCATATTTGGACCGCGTTTAACAGAAAGGGACCAAGCCACAGTAGCTATTGCCAATTTAAACTGGGCAATTTAATTTCTTACGAGAAAACGTTTGTGCAGATCCCTTCGAACATGTTAAGGAAAATTTGCTTCGTACTATGAAGAAAATTCACTGAAATTTGCGTGAAAATCCGCACAACTGTTTTCATGTAAAACATTAAATTAGCCGATTAAATTTGGCAATAGATGATGTGGCTTGGTTCCTTTCTGTTTAACGCGGTCCATTTCTCCGTGAAATTTTCGGACGTGTTGGATCAAGTTGCGAAAAAATTTACCTGAAAAATTCGGGGGGAAAATATTCGGAATTTTTTCAGTAAATTCGGTTTTTACTTATGCAAATCTGGCAACGTCTGAAGGCTCATACGGCATTTTCCCTCAGCGTGGCAGTTCTGCCGTGCTAAGGAAGAACGCCGTATGAACACTCAAGAGTTGCCAAATTTCCTTTGCTAAAATATTCATTGCTAAATAAAGTTAGGCATATTTTTCCTTGAAATTTTCAGAGACTTGGGGTGAAATTGCGAATACAGAATTATCTGAAAAATCGGAAGAGAAATATTCATATTTTTACCGAGAAATTCGTGTTTTATCAAAGGAAATCTGGCAACGTCCAAGGGC